TCTTTTAAAATTTTTTTAAAAAAAAACATTTCTAGTTACCTAGACAGTTTATGGTAGACAAACATGACAAAAAAGATAGGGCTGAAGTTGTTAACTGCAACAAATCAAGATATAAATTTAAAAAAATTTAAGTGTGTGGTACATCATGTGCTTGAAACAAAAGCCTACTGCATCTTTTATTTTCTGTTTCATCCTCATCTCTAATCCCTCACTGTCTTTCTCTCATTACCTCTCCCTTGCTATTCCTTGTACTCCTGCCTAGCACAAGAAGAAGAACTGAGAAGAAAAATGGGTGCTTATGAAAATCCTAATGAAAATTCAGTGTGTCTGTAATTGAATCCTGACGTCTGAGTCCTGACAAGAGGGATTCGAGCTGCGGACGGGATAAACGTGCCTCGCCTCCCATTTCTCCAGCCTCCATCAATCATCACACATCACCACCATGACCAGGGCATCGGCCGTTCCAGCTCAATAAGAACCCATCAGTGAAAGAGAGGAAAGACGGGACTGAACAGTGCAAGGCAGAAAGCAAGGGAGAGGAAAAGAGCACTCAGATATTCACAGGGAGAGACAGGATAAAAGAACATGTTGTGTTACCCATCATGGTGGAGTTTTGCGTAACTTTGCATATTCAAATGTATTCAAATAAACAAATGCTCTGAGTGCAGCTGCAGAGACCATTTTAAAGTCTGCTGGCAGATTTTATAGCTACATTATGCACAGAACAGAAATATGTGACTGTAACCTAAAAGGGCAGCTACATTACACTGTAATTGCTTTGCTAAAATAAACACTAAGAATACCCAAACCATGGACACTATACACACACAAATACACAGTGGGACACACATCCACTGTCAGTGCTTGGGCTAACAGTTACTGAGGAGAACCCTGTATCCAATTCACTCCTGAAACAGACCAAAGATACATTGTGCTTACGAAGATATCAGACTACGTTTACAATTCAAACGTACACATGACACCAGGTGAATGGCCTCAGCAGTCCATAGTTTAATCCATTGTGTAGCTCATTTTGGCTTTCAGCTGAGAACATAAGCCAGGTCAGTCATAAGACACCATGGTGCTCCATTTACCAAATACCTGGATTTAACTGACTGATGAGTCATGAGGGCTTCTTTATTCAGTTTGCAGCAAACAGTCGTGAACCCATGAAAGGAGGGTATGCTGTTAACAATATAATATTTGCCAATATCGCAGGGTTTGTTTTGGCCGTGCTATGAGCTCTGTACCCCATTTTTAGTCTGTAATGACACTAAAGTTCTCAGTCTAAACAAATAAAATTATTCTTAAACCTCGAAAGCATGCACATAACCTTTGTATTCCCGAAGCTCCAACTGGCACATATGAAAAACAGCTACCAAGACAAATCTTTCCTAAAGCTCATTAGAGCCTAAAGTGACAGAACACAGCAGCTGTGGTCTAAAACGCTGGCAGCAAAGGGGCTGTAAGGACATGCTGTATAGATATAAGGAGGCATACAGACTGAAAAAAACAAAACAAAGTAAGTGTCAGAGAAGAAGAAGAAGACAGAAAATAACTGCTGGTGGTACTTTCAACTTGAGACAGAGACAAAACTGAAAGCGGAGGGCAGAGACATAGAGATGAGGCTCAGTTCCTCCAGTGGAGAAGGGGCAGCTCTAAACTCAGATGGGACTTTTTTGCCCTGCTTGCAGTGTCAGAGACATCATCAGACAAGTCTATTTCAGATATATCCTGTCAACTCACTGAGAGACCCTGTCACGGCCTCTCCTCCCCTGGGTGACAGTGAGAAAATAAAAAGGGGGAGGCCAAAGGAATCAGAATAGCAACTAAAAGATGAGGTAAGTAAAAGGTGACATGAGAAAGCTCAAATTATTTTGAGTTGTTTTTCTGTTTATCACAGAAAAATAAAATAGTACTTAAAACTGTGTTTGAGGCTCTAAAAAAAGTCCTTAAAAAAGTATTTTCCCCACTATAACAACTCCTATCTCTGGGGTTGTAGAGGGGAGTACTGAAACATTAACAAAGAGAATGAAGACAGTATCCCATTTGAAAAAGTGACTGAAAAAAGAAAAGCAGAAAGAAATGCTGCTAGACAGTCACTGTAAACTCTGTCAAAGACAGCAAAAAGTCACAACCAAGGATGGACAGATATATGGACAAAGAGGGGAAGGAGATGGTGGAGGCAGTGGCAGTAAGACACAAGGAGCACTAGTCAAACGGGCTAACTGAGCCCTGGTGTCCCTCTGTCAGGGCAGTTCAGACCACGCACAGAAGCAGTATTATAGGGCGGTGGGTCTGGCCAAGAGAGAGAACAATAGCTCCTGTGTGCCGGAGCCTCTGGAGCATCCTAACAGCTGGGAGATAGGAGGTCTGTCTGTGGCTCCACTAAATGGCACGTAAAGGGGCGTTGCACATCGTGCACACATAGATTTTCTCTCTCTGCCTTTCCCAGAATCCCTGGCCCACCTTCTTCCCACCTCCTCCTCCTCATGCCAGACAGCCATCACTCATTTTACTCTCATTTTTTTTCTTTCTTTTGCTACAAGCTCTTTCATTATGGCCTCTGTTATTCTGCATGTCCTCCTATCACCCCTCTCCACCTCTGTGGAAAAAGACAAAGGGGAGATACAGAAAGAGAGATATTCTTCTTGCTAGCATGAGAAAGCCAGAGACTGGCAGAGGATCAGAGCAATGTCAACAAATAAGAGAGGTCCAAAAGCCTCCACAGGAGGCATGCCAAAGCCCTTCTATCACGGGGGCCTCTGAAACACAGAGAAAAACATGAGAACTGCAAACTGTGCAGGAATGTCATCCCTCGCAGCAAAGAGTTCACAAACAGCATCAGATAAAACCATGGCAATATGTTTGGTTCTATTCTGGGAATACACCTGTAGGTAAAGGCCATTCACTGGGTAAAACTGAGCATCTGCCATATAGACACATGTATCAAAGAGCGAGTTATATGGCTAGACCTTCAACTTTCCTACTTTGCACCTGTGTTTTATGTTTTTTTGCAAGCTCAAAAAATCTAGGTATAATAAGAAAAGCCCATGAGGTCACCCGCTTGCATGAGGACTGGGGGCAACAACAGACATACTTTAGCACACATATCTCAGAGCCGATCGAGGGTGAATTTGGTTCACTGGTTCAGTAAATGTCATTGTGGGAATGTGGGAAGAGACACTGGATAACGTCTTGAAGCTCACTTCAAATTCAGCCAATATGTCCGCTGTTTTATGCATAGGGCCTATACATAATCCCTCAGAGCTGTTGTGAAATCTAGCCTATAGCCTCCACTCAGTCATGTGATAGTGTAGATGCCACTGTTGCAGACTGATCATTGTAACAGCTGCAAGGGGTCTCATTCTATTTTGTCCAAGGAGTCAGAGCTACTTTCACATACAGTACCTTATATATTTTGCACATTAATCATTTCTTTAAACAACAGGCTTTTCTGGAAAGTGTGCACATTTGGTACAAATTATGTGCATCAAAATGTCCTTGATTTAAATTATTATTCTGATTGAATCTAGGAATCTCTTCCCTGTGGATTTCTGTGTATATGGTCCAGACGGTGTAGGTGTACAGAGCTGTGTGGCTAATTTTAGTTTAAAAAATCAGCACTTTCTATTTGTTGATGTTGACATGATGTCTATTCTAAAAGAATTTCTTCTTTCAAGACAGTAAAGATTTGATCTGAAGTGACATGAAGAAAGCAATTAATAACCAAAAAATAAAATCATTGAGCTCATACACTTCACATGCAGCCCCTACTGCTATCTACACCCCACTTAGCCCCAGTTTGTATCTCTTCTGTATCATCAATATAATTTTAGTACATCAGAGAGACAAACCAGACCCATTACTCTACTGTCAAAAGCAGCAGGCACAACAGGGTACATAGACTTTTATCAATGGCTCTGCAGCTGATGTTTCCAAAGGTAATTCATTCATCACTAATCACTGATCAGAACACAAATTTCTATTACAGGCTTTTCTCAAGCTTCCACTATATTTAGAGAGGCAAACCATGCTTCACTGTAGAGCAGCATCCAAGGACTCTCTTCTTAGTGTTGTTTTAAATTGACAGGATGCAGAAAATATGATCGGTTTAATGTAATAGCACATGAGCTGGCATCATGTAATGCAAAGAATATCTTCATGCTGTTACCAATTATAAAAGGTGATCACTACAGTCACTAAAGGACACTGCTCCTCATGCCCACTTTTTTGCTGCACTTGAAGTAGTACAAAGAAGGTTTCGAATTTCACAAAGCATGATTTTCACTGGGCTGAAGGCTACCATCCCCCATGACTGCAAACCAAGCTGGCTGGAATAGACCCCAGCTCCTATCCTCCTCTCTGAGGCAAGTCAATGCATTCTTAGTGGGAAAATTAAATCACGTATTGCCGATGCCAGCGGTTCGCCTAATCATACTGTACCAAACTGAAACTCCACAACACACTGACGGATAAAAATCAGCAAATATAACATATGTGGCATTGTCTATAGCCTTAAATCATTTGCGGAGCATTGCAAATATTTGCTCTCCGGTTTCTCACCAACATGATATTCCTGTCTGAATATGTCAAGACGGTGCTGCTGCGGGAGCTCATGCAGATGTGGAGCATTGCAATTTATCACCATTCAAGCAGTCCCGTTACAAATTCTGACATTTTTTTCCTCATTAATAAACCTACTACCGGTACTTTCAAGGTTTTGGCCACTTTGCAATCATACCGTTGTCAACATTGCCACATTTGTCACCTGTGTACTGGGTTAATGTGGCAGTCAGCGATGGCCAGGCAGTGTTGAATTACCAAGACCGTTATTATTCAAGCAGCTCCAGTTTAAAGCGAACGTTGCAACATGGTGACTCGGTTTTAAGGCAGTTAGTTGCTTCTGTGGTAAGATGCAATAAGGTTGAGCTAACGTTACTAAAGTCACATTTTCAAGTAAAAAACGTAACTTGAGTACACTGTGTTCGAAAAATTACCTGATATGTTTCTTAAAATTCCTCTTTATTTTCTTTCCATCCTCACTGAGCAGCAGAGCATGCCACCGTGTCCAAGGTTTTAAATCCCCGGGTCGGGTCCATGATTGTACTGTCTCTGATATTAAATGTACTCCTGATGGAAGAGGCGGCGGCGGAGAAGAACCCAGGCACTTTTTTTCCAAAGGGATTCTCTGGCAAGATATTGGTGAAACTGACATCAAACCTGGTCCAATCAAGCTAACAACAGGTTCCGCAGCAAAATAAAATATCCGGCAGATTTACTCTTATATGACATATGTGTTCTTTCCAAAGGAACGAATGTGAAATTTTGTTAATTCGCAGGAAAATATCCCCATTATAATCAGTGATAATGGTACGTACCACTCTATTGTTGGGGCGCGAGAGAGCGTCCCATGCAACTGATGTGTGCTCGTGGGAGGCTCGCGGATAACGTGCGCGCTTTCAGTATTGGCTTGTTATCTGAAACCGTCACTGTGTGCTGTCCAATCGATTACAGGGAAGGACGTCGATTTGGTTATTGCAACCCTTACTGTACATAAAAATCATATCATTACAAATGAATCGATCTCCTGCGCAATGATTGATTATATCATATAAACTACATTATACATGATTTCATACAGCCTACTTGCTATTAAATAGGGTCAAAGATACTGACTACCATAGACTAAGGAGACTATGGTGTTGATTGTGGTTTGTTGTTATGTATGTGTATGGCTCAACGTGTGTATAAAATAGCACAAAGAAAGAAATTTGGATGATTTTTAGTGCTTGTTTTGGACCAGAAAAGAGTCAATTTAATTAACGGAAAATAAACGAGCAGATCATCACATTTAAGAAGCCGGAACCAGAAAATATTTGGAATCTTTGCCTAAAAATAATTAAATGAGCAATAAATTATCAAAGTCAATTTTCTGCTGATCGATTAATTGACTAATATTTCAGATCTTGTATTGTTTCTGAGATTATGGCATGATTTTTTTCATTATCATGCCTTGAGTGAGTAACGTTCTATTATCGTCCAAATAATGAAGGCTGATCATTATTTTAATATTTTATTTATTTTATTTGTTTACAATAACGGAAGTCCCGCCCTCCTGCTTCCGTCCAATTCACAACATTCAACATGTCTGCCGCCATAAGTTCCCTCGTTTCGTACGGAAGCGATTCTGATTCAGAAAATGAGTCGGAATCTAATACCGGAGCCGAGAAAGTGGACCAGGTGGGTCCGGACGCTACGGCTCACCTCAAACCTCTTCAGTCTGGACACACGATGTCTTTGGCTGTTCTCAATTCTGCTCCCGAGGTCGCCGTTAAGGTAAGCTAACCTAGCTAGCTACCGTTAGCTTAACGTTATAGTTAGATAGTTAACATACTGTTGGTCGCACCGTGCTTAAATGTTTTAAGAAGACCGCCGTTTCAATAAAGAACGCGAAATAATTTATTATGCAGCGTCAAGAATTGTTGATAAAATGAAAGTCGTGCTACACATTGAGCGTCGAGCGGAAGGATGCTGTATGTTAATCTGGACCTATGCTAAAGAACAGTTTGCTAATCATTTAGAATAACATCAGCGATATGTTTTCCTTTATTTTTATACACCAAAACACTGATTTGAACATCTTCATGTTAGGAGTCCGTGGAGACTGGCACACACCTGGACCCTTCGCTGAAAGAAGTCACTTACAACCCGACATTTGAAACCATGTTTGCACCAGAGGTAATGTTGTGACTTTGAGCTTAATCATTTAATAAGTACGAGAGATACTGTAATGATTCTGGATTACAAGCGGCATTTTGTTCATTTTAATATGTTTATGCATCCTACATGTCTTGAAGGTTTCCATGAATCATATGGCTGAGCTAAATTAAATACTGAATTACTTTAGTTCCTGGGCCATCACATCCGCATTAACTAATGAACATCTCAATATTAAACATTTGTGTGTTGATGATGTGACATCCCCATGTGTCATCATATTTGCATTACTGAGGTGTTTGCTGAAAGGTTTGGAAATATATTTTATGTCCATATCAACCAGCTCTGATGTAAATACTGTTACGTGAGTTAGAGTGGTTGTTGTTGGTGTTAATTATGACTGGTGTGACTGATTGGTTTGTTTCATGATTTATTATTTCTGCTGCTGTACTGCCACAATTTCTGATTGGGTGTGATAAAGTGCTCTATCTATCTATTTATTTATTTTTCCATTTATCTATCCATCTCATTACTATTACATGAATCAGAATGTCGTGTTGTGAATTGTGAGGGTCCGTAAAAGGTTAGTACTGATAATGATTTTTTATTGTTCTCTCCTAGTTTGGCCCAGTGAACCCATTTAAAAGCCAGCAGATGGCTGCCCCTAGGAACATGTTGTCTGGCTATGCAGAACCTGCTCATGTCAACGACTTTATGTTTGAACAGCAAAGGAGGACATTCTCCACCTACGGTAAGCCCATCTCTGACCCCTGTCATGGGTTTGGTTGATGTGGTCAATATATGCACCCTGTTAGAATTTTAATGACTTTTTTTTAAACTCTCTCCACTCTGCTAATAGGTTATGCTTTAGATCCCTCTGTTGACACACACCATGTGTCCACTAGTGGCTACATAGGTGCAATAGATGAGGCTGAGAAAAATAAAGGTAATAATTAACAATTTATTCCTGAATGAACAAATCTAACTATATGTAGAATTAAGTATTATTCTAAGGAAAGTCTGAATTATAATCTCTTCTGGCTCTTCCGTAAGGGTTAACTGTGTTTGAGAGTGGACATAAGAAGTCAGAGAAAAGGAAAAAGATTAAAGGTGGAGATGCTGGAGAGATTGACAACTTCCTTGGACCATGGGCGAAATATATAGATGAGAAAGATATGGCCAAACCATCAGAGGTAATTTTTTTGTTTCTATATATGATTTAAGATATTGTTGAGATTGTCACTTCCTCACATGATTAAGTAAATCCATTAACTCCAGGGAATACATTTGAGAGTAAACTCACTTCAATTTGCTGAGCCTTTGTCTGTCTTTATAACTGTATCCAAGAAGATAAGTGTTTTGGTAACTACTTTACAGGAAGAGCAGAAGGAACTGGATGAAATCATGGCCAAGAGACAGAAGAAGGGAAGGAATGAGGAAGAGGCTCCAGGAGAGGAGAAGACCATCCTCCATGGTACTGTGGCTTCTCTAGTTTAATTTCTGAATTAATTTGAATAGCAAAAGAAAATTGCTGAAAGTGAAATGATCAAGTATTTAAACTATTTATTTGAAATCTGAAATTATTAGTTGCCTCTCGAGCTTTTAATAATATCACAAGATCTTCCTCAGCAAAGGTTTGCTGATTTGTCGTGTAATTGGCATTTTCTTGACGTCTCAGTTATGATATAGTCTTTGAGGCGCACAGAGTGGTTGGTCCGTGCTGGTCAAGGATTTAATTCCATAAGAAACTTTTGCTAATGGCCTCTGACAGCCGTGGCTCCTTCTAAAAACATGTATACAGACGCTCCAGGAGTTTTTCACATGCTATTTTGCCTCTGTTTGTTCTTCCCACAGTTAAAGACATGTATGATTACCAGGGCAGGTCATACCTCCACGTCCCACAGGATGTTGGCATCAACCTGCGTTCTGCGGAGGTTCCGGACAAGTGTTACCTGCCAAAGAAACAGATTCATGTCTGGTCTGGACACACCAAGGTCAGTGGGAAGGGACATAGTTCATTTATAGTCTTACTATATGTGAATATCCCTTTATCTCACCAGTTAAGAAATCTTGCAGCTGTAAGTATTCTCTGCACAGGCCTTGCTGATGATAAGTTCTAGTACTGCAGCGTTGTTTAAAAATAATTCTGATATGCAAAATGAGAGCTGTGTCACATAGGAATCTCTGTATACATAGAGAGAAAATTCCATTATGCAGTCCTTGTAAGATTTTCTGAGGCAGTCAGTAAAAACCTCCTGGGTACTTTTGAATAAAATGATAACATAGTATACGAGCCGCTTGCTCCTGACATATCCGAGATTATTCTGTCTCATTCAAAACACCATCTTTATAATTCAAATGTAAAGGCAAACACTGGGTTATTCCAAGAAAGATCTGATTCAAGCTTCAGATCTGCCAGCGTGCTTCAGGGAGAGAGAAATCACTCAAGTTTTAAATTGGCTCCTTTCCACTTTGTGCAGCAAGTTACAGCCTTCACAGTCTAATTTGAAATACAAAGAGGTTTGAAAAGATAATAAGCGTGTGGAAGTGCTGATGTCGAGATAATAGATGGGGTTGGCCCATACGGTGTCACCAAAGTTTTCTGCCATATTTTGAAGAAAGTTTGGTAACTTGAAGAGAGTCATCATAATTTCTCTAACTGTTACAGAGGCATTGTGATCTACACACACACTCTTTCTGCCCTGGTTACATAATGGCTCAACTGATGTCTCCCCTTAAAACTGCTTTATTAGCAGTAACTCAGGCCATGTCCAAACAATGTCAGCAGCTTAAACATACACAGTATTTTATATGTGGAAAATTTAGATGTAGTACAGCTTTTGCTTTTGACTCCTTTTTAGTCTAGAATAGATATAACACTACAATAAAATAATAACTTAAGTGTCTCATGATAAAGAGACTAATATGGTTAAATTAATCACTTTATTTTCCAGGGTGTCAGTGCTATTCGTCTATTTCCAAGCTCTGGACATCTACTGCTTTCCTGCTCCATGGACTGTAAGATCAAGGTAAATACTCACAAAGAGGTGGCATGAAATAACTTCACAGAAGCTTAGGAATGGATGTACACACATTTGTTCTTTCTTTTTGTAAGATGTAGTTTAATCATTTTATGGTAGTGGAATAAGATGACTGATAACAATGTCAGCTGTGAGTTTTGAAGTTTTATCATATTGCTTTTTGGCTGTTTTTGAGAAGATTCAAAGCTAACCTCTAGAGCCATACTAATGTAATGTAAAACAGGACAAACAAAATATGTTGATACCAGGGGGGTTGGTTTGGTTTGCTAGCTTGCACTTAGTGTGGTGGTCAAGACTAAATGCAATGCTTTGGTTCAAATAAAAATTCTGCTAGCTGAATTTAAAGTTGTGCTGCGGCAAATCTATTTTCACTTGTCGTTTTATCTCCGCTCCACAGCTGTGGGAAGTGTACGGCGAGAGGAGGTGTCTACGAACATTTATTGGTAAGTAATCTCATTAAACATCTCCAGTCGAAATTATATCTTAAATTGTAATAAATGTTGACAATGCACTCCACAAAACGGTATCATGATATTGTGAAATTCATCACCAAAGTATAATCTCTTATATACAATAATGGATCATCAGCAAACATGCTGACATGAAATATGCTGGAGGTTAAATGCAACCTGCCTTTTGGGAAATACACAGCAGTGACAGACTGTGAGCTCAGCATTACTGGAACACTAATGACACGTCTGCTGACCATTAACAAAAAGTGTGGGGATTTTTAGAGTCTGGGATGTTTAGGCTAATGCATGCAGGTCACTCTTACACACTTCCAGGATACAGTACACTGTCAGAATAGAGATTATTTGCAGCTGTGGTTCTGCTTGTCAGCTCCTTCACAGTATATTCATAATTCAGCAGCCCAGGGGCTGAGGGGGAACAAGGGGCAAGGAAGAGCACAAGACGCAGGGAGGAGTGGGGATACAGGAAGAGAGAACACAGTTTAGGAGTGAATAAACTGACAGAGCAGCTGGGGTGGGGGTTGTGAGTAGGAGAAGCAGCAGAGGTGTAGATGATGATAATAATAATAATTTTTTTCATCAGAGCAGTGTTAAAAGTGCAGGGCTATGTTGTAGAGAACATACAAGGTTTTCACTTTGTTGTCGCTGCAGTGGTTTCAGTTTGATCATCTGTTATCTGGTATGTTCATGTTTTTATAACAGCATCATAAACGATTCTGTTTTCTTTTTGTTCTTTTTTTTTTTTTTTTTTTATCCCAAGGCACTATATTTTACTTCATTTTCTTACGTATTTGGATGACCTTGAGATCTTTAGAAACTAAACCTTTTGTTTATATCATTCTTCAGTTTTTCTTCTTTTCATTTCTCTTCTACTTAATTTATGGCACTGAATATTATCTTTGAATAAAACCTACACTTTAACAGGAATTTGCACACAATTGTTGTCTTTTAGTTTACCGTTGCTTGTCAGAATCACAAAAAAGCAGGGAATAGTTAATATGTTAGGGGGTGGGGGGAATGAATGAATGAGTACGCATATCTTTATATGTATTTTCATGTTTGGATGCCGTCTGAGACAAAGGGTATATTTCATGAAGGGTGCCCTGCTTTCAGTAGTTTGTGTAGTTGTGTGTTCTTGCATAAACACACACACACCATCAAGGCTTTCTGCAGCGGCGGCTGCCTTTGGTCTGCCAGCAAGCAGGGTTAGAGCAAGCGAACAGGCAGACACTTAGCCTCAGTGGGCTCTGTTATCGCCGTGGAAACAGTGTAACCCTGATAAAAGCCAGCTTTAACAAGGGAGGCATCTGCGCGCACCGAGCCCACTGGGACCTCACATCTCCTACGCTGTATGAGAAAAAGCCAAAGGGCTGCATAGATTGGGATTAGGAAGAGAATAAGGTGGAGAACGGTTGAAAAGACAGATGGAACATGATTCTTTCTCCTCCAAGCTCATTTAAAGACTTCAATCCCTCGTGTCCCACAGCCCACTTCATCTTTCTTCCGCAACATCCCCTATTTCCCTTAACTAGATTTCACATTCCTCAAATGAACTGGGTGTCAAAGGAAAGGCAACTGGGGGAGACTTGGCAACAAGACTGGGGAATGTATAAAGTGATTTTTTATTTTTTTTTTTTGCACATATTTGTTTATTTGTAATATGTGTGAATTCTTCTTCTCTGTGTGTTAGGCCACAGCAAAGCAGTACGAGACATTTGCTTCAACAACACTGGGACCCAGTTCCTCAGCGCTGCCTACGATCGCTACCTTAAACTCTGGGACTCTGAGACAGGTATGCTGTGCCACTGTCTTGAACTCTACAACTCTTTCCTGCCGTTGACAAAGCCGCTTGTTATGGTTCTTCAAAAATGAATTAAGCAAGACATGGATATCTCTCTCTTTTGCCTATCTCAGCGGCACTTTTAGATTGTGTATTTTGGGGCGGTGTTAACATGCAGGCCAAAAACATTTAATAACATTGATCTCAGAAGCCATCAGATAATTGTGAAAAACAGCAGTTTGCTCATTTGCCCTTTATCTGCACTGTTTAACAGCACACATACTTTCCAGGTCAGGTTTTCTTTGTCTTTAGTGATAATGAGAAGAATATTTTTTGGATTGTGAACTGAAAATTCAAGATGTCACCTATGGCTTTAGGAACTTGTGATGGCCATTAATCACATTTTTATGACATTTTATAGAATAAACGATTAATTGATTAATCAGAAAAAATCAGTAGATTAATTATGAATGAACATAATTATTAGTTACAGGCCTTGCCTATGGATGGTTGTATTTGTAGAAATCCAGTATTACAGTCAGTGTAACATGAATCCCCAAAATAGAATGAAGTCACACAATTCCACAATAATACAAACTATGATCTTCTGATCTTGCAGACCTGATAAAGACATATTGAGAAGAAACATACAAAACCCTTTATTTAAAAATGCTGTATGTGTATTGGAGACAAATTCTCTCATGGGTTTTCATGTTTTTCCGGTTTCTATGATAGTATTGAATTTTTGAATTGAATTCGTTGTCTTGCTTCATACAGGCAGTTAAGGTCTATGTATAAAACCAAATTACAAGTGATCTCCCAGTTATCTTTCCCCTGTGCTCATCCATTTTTACATCCACCCCTCTCAACTTAAGAGTGCCAATCCAGCAGAGGGCGGAAAAGAGTTAAATCCCCCACTTGTTGATAACAGGATCCCCTTTGTAGCCATATCATCCAAATACTTCTGTTAACCAAGAGTTAATTCCCTACACAGTTCGTTAATTGAAAAGGGTTCTTTACCTTTCCTATCAGTTGTTGTGGATTTGTTGCTGCTTTTTCCTGTAGCTGTACAGCAATGATGCGTAGGGGGTCAGTTTAGTATTTTATTCCAGATTTGTCCCAGTTGCAGTCGGAGCACTGGATGTAACACAAATTATGTTTAATGAAAAGCCTTCATTCTAAACTTAAGAGCCTCTTGATGTTGCAGTCATTTTAATTTCCTGGTCTCTCAGCTCTAGCAGCAGTGGTACCATCAGTCCCATGGTGATTCATCTCTGCTGAATGAACACAAAGAAACACTGAATTTCGTGTGTTATGGCTAAGCCGTTGCTGCCTGCAGGGACAGAGCGTACAGCACTGAAAGTTGCAGGCTGCCCTTAAAATTTAAACAGCTTGAGTTACCTTTCTGAAAAGCCACTTTGGATTATTCTGGAGCTCTTACTTTCAATTTTCCTCCCTCAACAGGCCAGTGTATCTCCCGCTTCACCAACAGGAAGGTACCGTACTGCGTCAAGTTCAACCCAGACGAGGACAAACAGAACCTTTTTGTGGCCGGCATGTCGGATAAGAAGATTGTTCAGGTAAAGTTGGCATATGCTGCACTGCGAGCAATTCAGTTCAGCTCCCACCATCACCTGCATTTATTTCCCCAGTTGACCAAGCAGATGCACTCATGAATTTCTGTGTATAGCCCCTGTGCCCACAGCAGCATGAAATACACTCCCTTCTCAACTGTCAAGCACTATTGTGTGTGTAGTTGTGTGTGTGTGCATGACAAGAGTTTCACAGGCTGACAGGACTAGAGCAAGTCATCAATCACAGGCAGCATTAGGGTGGAAAAGAGGCAACGGGAAGAGAACAATCTGTGATAAAAGTTGGAAATCCAAGTAGACAGTTTTCAGAACTAGTAGCCCTGAACTGATGAGCAAGTGAAAGTTTGGATCAATGTGGCAGTAACAAGCTGAGAGTACACATAGCTGTTAAAGCTGTTCACTGAATTGTGAATATGATTTTATTTTCCACAATGGGATTACCAAAGATGCAACAGTTTAGTTTTATTTCATTGTACTTTCAGTCCAGCTTTAATTGAAGATATGTCCGTATATCCAAACCATAGTCATTATCATAATATCTGGCTCAATAATCAGGGTTAGTATAAAATCATGTGGCTCTGTTCTGGGTTTTGAGAACAGATGGCTGTTCTTGTAAGCAGCCGAGGGGTAAGAGTTTGGGGAAAAAAAGAGCATAAGTAGAACTGGATTTAAAATCTGTTTGGACAGAAATGAGTCTTATTTGTTTATTGCCCGGGGACCAGTTTTATGTGGTTGTATTTCCTTTACATTTTAATGTGAGAAAACTGTTCTAAAAACATTCATGTTCAAGACTGAGACCCATTTTATAGTGAAATAGCTGTCATCACACTGCTGCAGTTAGTCATTTCACTCCAGTCTCCCACAGCCCCATCATATGAATTTCTAATTTCGTTTTTTCGCAACAGTAAGAGAAGTTGCATTTATCTTGGTAATCATCACTCCACAAGAGACTGTGCAGTGAAACTAGTTGTGTTTACCTCATCTCTGTCTCCCTGTTTTTATTTTTCACCTTCTGCCGCTCTGACAGTGGGACATCAGGACAGGTGAGGTGGTTCAGGAGTACGACCGTCACCTGGGAGCCGTCAACACCATCACCTTTGTTGATGAGAATCGTCGGTTTGTCAGCACATCAGATGACAAGAGTCTTCGAGTTTGGGAGTGGTGAGTACAGATGAGTTAAATCAGCCTTAAATACTTGAAGGAGTAATTTCGCTGTGCTGCCTCGTAGTGTTTGTTGCTCTGCCTCTGAACAAGGCATATAATCCCACTCCCCATTACCAAGTGGTTAATAATGAAAGACTGGTTGCATTGGGCAGCAGCTCAGAGAAATTAAGAACATGATGATGTTCAGTCATTCAACACTTGATAAATAAAGGATAAAAAATAATGAAACAAATTAAAAAGACAGCTAAAAGTATTACAGCAGGGCATTTAGTTTTATATGTGGTTGCCAGGCTGTTGCAGAGACCATTTTACTATTTAACAGCCTCATTAAGGTGCATCTTGCTGACATCAAGTGTCTTTGTGTTTTGTCTCATCTGTGTAAAAAGAAACTGAGGCCAAACATTTAATATACACAAACTATAGTTTCTGTCCTGGACTGTTTCCTGAAGAAGTCACAGTCTTGCACTGCTCCTTTCATTAGTCATTAATAAGAAGACTAGATGTCAACAATCCTCCAGACGACCCTGTGTTGGACAGTTCACCCAGCTGTGCTGCTAATGTGCTGAGTCATAGCCTCTGCCACAGTTTGCCTGCTTTACATGCATCTGTTACTCTGGGAGTCTGTTTTTTTTTTTTTTTTTTACCCTGGAGTTAACATTGTTCTCTGACAACGCTCCAGCAATAACCCATCTAATCCTGGTCTCTGTTGCCAGTTGTATATTTTAATAAATAAGCATTTGAAATTGTTCCACAAAATATATTATTTGGAAAGACTTGGATGACTGGCAGGTCAGATGAAGTTCAAAATTAATTTTCATTTTTAAAATCACCATTCCTGTCTTTTTTCTTTTTCTCTTCTCTTTTTCTTGTCTTATTGACAAAATCACGTGTTTTTCATAAGCTTATTTATTTTTAGAAATCGTCATCGCATATCTTACTGCAGTCTGTGCTCTCAGTGGCCAATCAAGAGAGACTCAACAAGAACAGCTTAGCCAGTGTTGCTGTCGTGATAAACATATTCTGGTATTTGTTGCTCAGAGATGATAGATATTTAAAGACCAACTGATAAAGGAAGACAGGGCACTTTTTATTCAAGGGTGACCATTTGTGTATTTTTTTGTTCCCTTGTCAGAACTTCCCAGCTCTTTTTTTTTTTTCCTCCAGAGTATGAGAAATGGTGATTAACTGCCAACTCAGAGTTGAAAGAGATAATAAAATGTCGGCAGAATAACGTAGGGCAAAAGAAAGATATCCCAAGAGTCTACTTTCTACACTTGTTTGGGAGGGGGGCTCCCACAGGCTTTTTTAGTGCAGCGTGGGAGCGAGCTGGCGAGTGGTATGTCGGGCTAAAGAGGGGCTTTACGGTCCCTCTTTCTCCCACAGATACCACCTGGCTCTTGGCTCTTGCCTCCCTCCTTCCTCTTCAAGCTAACACCCCTTGTGAGAGCTGTTACATAGCAGCATTAGGCTGAATTTACCAGAACAGTCTCATATCTCCAGAATAGAAGCGGAGGCTGGCAGAGATGGGCAGGGTGGGTGTGGGGGGGGGGTGCCGCCGCCGGATGGTTAGAAAAGATTGTGAGGCAGCAAATCTACAAGTCATTGACATCACAGCACAAACGCCCACACATGATTCAAATTCTATCCTCGTTCTTACACACATATTCACAATTTTTCTGCGGAGACTACTTTATCTGCAGCAAAGGTTTGTCATCAGCTAGGGCATAGTCGCTCTACGCGTTGGAGGAGGATTACAATCAATATGAAATGTGCCACTCTGTGCCAGCGAGGGGAATTAGCGCTTGATCATAAAGGCATCACTCAGAGAGCGATGAAACGCTGGGCTTGGAGGGTCATTTTGGATGATGATGGATTGAGAAAGATGAAAAAATGCAGGGCACAGACTAGTGAAGGACATAGTTGGAGTCACACAGTATGGAAAGTGAACTGCTGTCATCCAAAGACTTGATATTCCTAATTTATTTTCAACATGGTTTTAGTTTATAGTCTAATAAAAGGCAATCTGGAAAGCTGTTTGAAATGAACGTTCTTTCAAAATACCCTTGAAGAAAATCCTCCTGCAACCCAAATTGAATTGGACATTATCTAAACATTTGCTGAATAGTAATACTGTTCCAAAGCAGCATTGTGTCAAACATTTGAAAGAAAAAAAAAGTTCATTTATTGGGCTGTCAATAGTTATTACATTTTGTGAAATCCTCTTTTCACATCACTTCCAAATAAAAACCAGTGTTGGTCTGTTTCATTTCCTTCTCAGTCTGATTGCAAAAATTAACATAAATCTCACTACAGATATTATGCCTGACAAACTAAAGTTCATATTCAAAATATACAAAAATGCTGTTGTAGATCATTGTCCCTGAGCTTGATTGACGTGAAAGACCATCTAATATTAATGAGTATCTCTTGTGTATAGATTGTTTTTCTTTTCTTCCACTCCCATTGCTCTCCAGACAACAAAACATTCACACTGGTTATTTCTGGAGCTCAGAAGAAGAGATCTGATGGTCTTGTTATCTCTTCAGAGTTTAGCTTGGCTTGTGTGCAGACATTGGCTCCGAAAAAACCCTGGGGCCCCTTTAATCTCTGACTGTGTGTGCACATGAGAATTCAAGAGTGTTTTATGTGTAGATGGAATCTCATTTCTCATTTTACTATTGTCTTTAGTTCTTCGAAGACCATTTTTGGTCTCGTGTGTGCGCAAACACGGTGCAGTCACTTTGCTCCAGCTGTTACTCATCACAGATAGAGACAGAGACATGGCCTTGGTTTAAGCAGATAGCAAGATGAGTTGAGGGCTATTGCTCATTAGCACTCATTACACACAGAGTAAGGCAGAAAGACTCATGCACTTAGTTTACGACAAGTTCCAGAGGTCAGTAGAAAAAAAATCGGAAATTGGTATGCTGTTATCCTGGCAGACACACACACACACACACACACACACACACACACACACACACACACACACACACACACACACACACACACACACACACACACACGCACATAAACAGCACACTGTAAATTTGAGTGATCTTCTGCAGACCACTTAAGATCAAATAGCAAAGTTTCCTCACTCTCCCAAAGCAGAGAGACAGAGAGGATTAATAAGTAATTGGTTGCCGGTACAGTCGGCAGTGCAGCATCAAAAGCTTCTTTCAGATTGCGTGGAATTATTTACATACTGTAGCTTTAATGGTGATAGCGCCTGGTTTTTCATCGTAGCTGTTTTCTCTCTAGTAACAAGCAATTTTGAGATGGCTTAAGCAGCTGCAGTGGTAAACAAACTATAGTGTTGTGAATCTTTTCCTTTTTGAGTTCTTGATCAGGTTGTGCTCTCATCCAGTGTTTAACCCATCTTCAAATGTACTCACAATGCTTTGTGCTTTTTTTCTTTTCAGGGACATCCCTGTGGACTTCAAGTACATTGCTGAGCCCAGTATGCACTCTATGCCAGCTGTGACACTCTCTCCCAATGGTGAGTGGTCAAATCATGGCACAAGCACACAGTACAGGGGACTCTTAGGTGCATAAACCTATATTACCAGACTGAAGTTGTTGGCCCTTGCTCAGCAGAATAAAAACAAAGACAGGCTCAGTTCAGCTACATAGATGGATGGATGGATAGATAGATGGAGAGATGGAGAGAGCACTGTTTTAACATGAGGTGGTGCCCGCACTTGCAATTAATGAGATGTCAGTGTGCATCAGCGAGGGATGAAAGGAAATGCAATGGATGAACAATAATCATTTGGTTTTCCTTCAGTATTAATTCATTTCTTGCTGAAGAAGAAGAGAGGCACTCGGGCCCTCACAGATATTAGGCTAATAATTATTGGGCAATATATTAAAGGAAAACTAAGCAGGAAAACTGTGATGTAGAAAATAATTTGTTTAAGGAATGGTTTGACATTTTATTACACTTCTTTGCTTTCTTGCCAAGAGTTTGATGAGAAGTTAAAAAACTACTGTCATACCTCTACTGTAAATATGAAGCTACAGACGGGAGACACTAAAGTTTCCTTAGCTTAGTATAAAGACTCAAAGCAGGGGGAAAGCAGGTTGTTTGGCTCTCTCCAAAGATGAAAAAGCTCCTTCGAGTCCTGTCGTCATCCTGGGGTTTGCCAGATGGAGACCTCACCCAGCCAAGACACGGCCCAGCGTGTAGCGGGCCGTAAAATTACGAACAAGACAGGGACAAAGAAATGTGTGACCAGGAGATCCCTTTTTGTGAGTGTTCTGCAGACGCGTGACTCGGTGGGAGATGACAGCGGTACACAGAAATGAATGGGACATGTGAAGAAACCAGTTTCTGACCCAGTAGACAAGCTTTGTGAGCAGCACGCGCCGCAGCTGATAACAGAATTAACAGACGGTCGTCCTCTTCAAATGTAACGCTTCTGTTTGAATCAGGAATTCCCTGTTGTACCCAATCAGCTTCAACTGCCATCAAACTCAATTCCTCTGTCCTCATCTGTTCTTTCCCTCACTACCTACTTTGATTCTCGCTTTTATGTACTCCCTACTCTCTTTCTTCCTCTGGGCAGCGTTCTTATTTGTCCCAACATGATTTGTTTCTCCTCAGCATGTGAATAATGAATGTGTTCTCAGTGGGAAACCATTCAGTTTTCTCTAATGCCTAAATGGCACCGACCCCCCACCCCCCCACCCCTGGCACCACATCCGCAGCCTCTCTCCTCTTACCATCTTTGCAAAACCCACAGAGCCTTAGTCCCCTGGCAAAATTGGTCAAGCTGTTGTCATTCTCCTGAATCTATCGCATCAGATGTTTTGTGGACAATAGTGTCTTTTTCATTTATGTTTTATGATGGAGGATGTAAGAAAAGGAGACAGACGCGCACACACACACACCAACACTCGAGCTCTTTCTCGTACCACATTAATAATTTCTATCATGTTTCCTTTCAAGAAGTGCACTGAGTCGTGTAATGCTTTGACACTGAAGCGTTGCCTCTTATCACTGTGTAGTGACTTCAAGACCGCAGTGTTGTCAGGAGCTGAAACGCTCTGTAAAGTAGATCTCCACGGAGCAGTGACTGATGAAAAACCTCTCTTCATTTTTCACTAAATTGCCCTGCATATTTCCACCAATTACAATGTACCTGTCGTTAAAAATATTTCACTCTACTTGATGTGCCACTAGATCAGAGTGGTTACACTGGCAGGGTTTGAGCACACTAACATGAGCAGGCAGCATCATGAAGCCGCATCAAAGATACTAGTGGCTGCTTGTTAAACATTTGGCTGTACAGAATCATGCTAATGAGACAAACTAGCAAGTTAATACACACTTTAAAACTTGCTGTGACAACCTTTTAAAGCTTAGATGTGTTGAACACTTCTGATACCGCGGTACTTTAATATAATCATTTTCTTCTTGCTCATTTGTAAGCATTTTGTTTTACGGTGCAACATCAGTATTGTGTAGCAGTCTGCTATAATATGGCTTACCTGTTTCACACCCCAGGTAAATGGCTAGCATGCCAGTCCATGGACAACCAGATTCTTATCTTTGGAGCCCAAAACCGCTTCAGACTGAACAAGAAGAAGGTCTTCAAGGGCCACATGGTGGCTGGCTATGCGTGTCAAGTGGACTTCTCCCCAGACATGAGGTAAACCTTTTACTTTGTTACTCCATTTTCTGATGAAGGGTTTACATTAGTGTGACAGAAGCCAGACTCTGAGCTTCTTACAACTCATTAATAGTTTATAAATGTTGATTAGTAAATGCTGAGTTGTTTGGTACTGAGGAATGGAAACCAGCCAGAAAAATAAAAACAGGTCAGAAGAGATTAAATTCCTGTTTTTGATAGGTTGTAGAGAAAGGGAAAAAAGAAAAAAAATGAATGAGAAGCAGAAAGAAATAGCGTAAGCATGCAAATGAGAACAAAATGTAAGAATAATTTTATTCTAGTAAATGAAAAAAAAACAAAACAGGAAAGAGTGGTTAAAAAAAGGCTCAAAAAGACGACCTTATACATTTATCTGTGCTCGAAAACAGCCTCTTCATATTGTCTACTGTGTAAGCTCCACAAGGAGAGCTAACTAGGGCAGTCCAACAGCCTAATTTTAGCCAAAACACCCATTAAGACCTGTTTTCTCCCCTCTTCTCACCCACCACCACCCACGTCTGTGAACAGGTGCCCTCACTTCCTTTCAGTATCCATGGCAACACAGCAACTCCCGGCTAGACTAAATACCAAAAATTCAGAGACTCCCACTTTTTGGCAGGTGAAGTGGAGACAGAAACAATTTTTAGCAAAGTGCTAATCTTTCCATCCTCGCCCCCGCCCCCCCCCTCTCCATCTCTCATTTCTACCAGCTATGTGGTGTCAGGTGATGCAGACGGAAAGCTGAATATTTGGGATTGGAAGACCACCAAGCTTTACCACCGGATCAAGGCTCATGACAAGGTTTGCATCAGTGCCCTGTGGCATCCACACGAAACCTCCAAGGTCATCACCTGTGGATGGGATGGACAAATCAAACTCTGGGACTAGAAAGTGCTCGGGTGCGTCTTTGGGGACAGGGGTTGGGATTTGGGAAATGATGGGCAAAACTGTTTGTCCCGTGGATTTTGTGAAGATTTTTAAGTGAAAGCCACAGGACTGGTATCCAGTCTTATTGTAGCAGTGTATTTTTGTATCCCGGCATGAGCTCTAAATATAGAATAGTTTCTACTGCAAAAGGCGTATTAGAGGGGTACATTGGCGTTTTTTTAAATAAATGTTTTGTTATCTTAATTGGCAGTGTCCTGTGTAGTATATACTTCTGTAATTCTTGCTAAAAATTCTTTGTTTTCAATTGTCTGACCATCCCTTTGTGGAAATAAACATTCTGTAAAATGAAGCATTGTTTCCTTGGAAAAAGTGTTTCTACCAATCATAATTCTGCACAAAATCATGAAGAGAAACCCCAGACCATGCTTTCTCGTTTCCTTGCTTTATTAAACTTCATCAAAAGATTTGGCAAATGAGAATAGTTTGATCATTTTTTTTCAAAAATGTTTTTGGCCTCTTGCTATATTTGGAGATGAAAGTTGTTGATGATTATCTGGTGCATCGCCGATAATGAAGTAATGCCAATTGAACACCAGACAAACAAGGGAGGATAAAAAGACCTGACAGTTACACAAAATGCCTCTTTGTGTAGATCTGAATAGTTTTCTATTACAACACAGGGAACTGCAATATGCAAAATAATAATAATAGTAATGAGTTCTCTTTCTCATCTTTCCTTTATGTCTTTTTTGCTCATTCTCGCCCACTCATGCTCATTCAAATATCCATCAACACACTGTGTACAAGTCTAGAGACATTACAGTGCAGTTCTTCACATCATTGTTGTGTTTTGTGTTTTTAACGGTCATACTAGGTTCAACTGCAGGGAAGCGCCTATTCGTCCAGACAGTTATCATCTTCCACAGATCTCGTCTCTTTTCATCTACCTCAACCCCTTTGACAACGTATATCCATTTCCTTAAATTCATGTACTATTTTGAGTAGCTGCAGTCTCTGGTTCTGTGTAGACTTAAGTTGTCTGATACCAGGCAGGAGCGTCTGGCTGTGAGCCAAGTCCAGACAGGACCATGATGACATGGGTGAGTGTGACTCAGAGGCTGACCTGCAGCCAACAACACAGTCTCTATGAGGTAGAACACAGAGAGCCTCTGGAGGCAATTACTCTGCCCCTCTACACGACTGAGGTCATTACAGGCCAGGAGAGGGAGAGCAGGAGGATAAGTAGGAGCAGGGATTTTAGCTTTACAAAAAGGTCAAACCAGATAAGAACAGTCTGTTGGAGAAGAGTCGTGCTGTAGCAAGAATATGTGCTCACTCTGAAAATTTCATGCTACACAAACTTGCACATTTCAATTCAGATGCCGACCCTGCCAAGTTCTAGTTTTTGGCTACACCTGTCTGGTATCCCTCAAGGCTTCCACTGTGTGTTCACCCAGCTCAAGGTGTATGCACTGCTGGCATTGAGGACATTCTTATGCAGGAAGAGGTGCGGTTTGGCTGGATCGTTCTGCACATGGAAGAGGCGGAAGTTGGTGCGTTCCAGCTCCTTGAGCAGGCTGAACCAGTACCGCACCACGGACGGGTCATCGCCGGCCACCTCAAAACCCGCCCAGTGCAGGTGAAGCTCCAACAGCAGCTGACCCACTGAGTCCAGAACTCCCTCCAGAAGCAGATTCTCCAAAATCTTCCACTCTGCGCTCTCCATATCTGCCTTCAGTACATCCACCTACAACAGAAAAAAAAAATCACTTTAGATGTCGTTTTTTTCCCCCCCTCTACAGGTAATAAATGAGTTCTCTCATAGCGCTGAAATGACACTAACTGTGTGGAATTATTGAACGCAAAAGCTATTAAAAGATGAAAAGGAGTAAGTGAAGCTTGGCCTTTGTTCTTGCTTTAGCGATGTTGATGATGGATTGAGCGAGAGAGCAGACTGACGAGCCTGGCTGTGTTGGAGCAGAGAGGAAACGCTTCGTAAGATGAATGTTAATCGCACCCTTAGGTTATATTCATGTAAGGAGACTCATGCATGCCCAAAGTTTAATGCACATCCTCGGGATCTTGAGGATTAGTCTTGACTCTACTGGGTTGCCAAAGATGTGCGTTGTCTGACCTTTATGTGTTTAAAAGCCTCATTGGCGACAGCTATTTTATACCGTCTACTCTCAGTAAAGTCTCAGCATTTTCTCAGCTAGTACATCATGTAGCCGCTAAATTAGTCGTGATAAGACCTGAGGAGAGATTCAGATTACAGGATATATCAGAAAGAGGCCCAGGGTATTGTCGAGGATTATTTCATTAATCCTTTGAGATACTAGCTAAAGGAAATTCATAGTTCTGTGTTTTTTGTGGAAAATGTTCCACAACTCAACCGAGAACATCATCTGGCGCCATGACAGCATAGATATTAAAGTGGCCATGAAATTCCTCTCCAACCGATGCCTTTGGTGGTGCTACGGAATTCCCAGGCCTCATTAGTGGAACTGAGCAATTCTCAGAAACTCTCAGAAAACTCTTATCTGTGGAGAAGAAGTCCAAATGCTGTCCTCTGTCCTCCCCATGGGTCCCAAAACTCCCACAAGAGGAGATGTGTTCTTTAATTGGAAGGAAACATCCTAATGGAAAATGATGCGGTGTCAACAGGAGGTGATGTATTTACTTGGTTTTCTAAGAGAGAATGCATCTGTCTGAGAATATGCGAGCATCATACTGTGTTTGTCTGCAATTGTCAGGAGTAAGCGGCTCATACAGCTTCAATCTGTCTTAATGATGTAAAGTCTGTTCATTTTTCAGTGTACTTGATCTAAATTGCCTTTCTGTCTCTGTGGTCCCTGATTCAATGCTGCCAATATCAACTCTCTCTGCAGGAGGAGTTACAAGCCCTGGCAAGACTCCTGTCTGGTCTCAGCGAAGTCCATATGGTGTTGGGGCTTTGGAAAGATGACTTTTGCTACACTGCTGTGCAGAGTTAGCCACGCTAAGTGAGATCCTTAACTATGCTGGAAGGAATCGAGGTATGATAAGTTTCCTTGCGGTTGGATAGCAAAGTTATTACATATATTTCATGTCAAAAACAAAAGTAATTTGGGCGAAATACAGCACCGATCAAAAGCTTTTGGCATGTTAGATGTTTGACTGATGAGTATTATCCATCATGCAATCCCATCAGGGTGGCGTTTGATGGCTCCCTGATTTCATTCTGCAGCATGACAACAACCCCAAACATACAGCCACAGTCATAAAGAGCCATCCTCAGGGACCAGAGGAACATTGAGTGCTGCAACAGATGGTCTGGCCCCCACAGAGCCCAGATCTCAACATCACGGAGTCAGTCTGGGAGTACATGAAGAGATAAAAGACAGTGAGACACCCTGCATCCACAGAGGAAAAGTGTTAAGTTCTCCAGATGCTCGGAAAACAAGCAACCCGGTAAGAAGCTTCAAAAACTGTGTGTACGAGTACTGAGGAGAACTAGTGCTGTTTAAAGGCAAAGGGAGGTCAGAGGAAATGCTGATTTGATTTAGGTTTTTCCTGTTTACTGCACATTGAATGAAATTAATTGATGAATAAAAAACTATTCCTGACATTATTTTTTAAAAAAGAATCCTCCCTTTACTTTTGTGCCTTTGTATAGTAGATACTGTATAATGTCAGGTGACCAGCGGTGACTCCAGGAGGAGAGTGAAGAAACAGACCCTCCTGCAAAGCTGCAGATTTTGTTTTTTGTATGAATTAAACAAACAGGGTTTAAGGTTGTAAATGGTAAACCTTTGCCCAGTTCCAGGTTATATTTCCCTTAATCTGCCCATTTCCTAAGATGTTGAACAAATTTTCAAGCAACTTGTCTGCAGTTTAAGCTCATTATGAATCTTGAACTGCAGCAGCAAACCTGTTCAACCTTCCTAAGCGCCAGCATCTTCCTTATGCGGTCCAAAAATCAAAAGTATAACTGCAAAGAGATGACCGTCATTGTAAGTGTCTTGTTAAAATTCTGTAAGAACTCAAAACAATCACAAACCAAACTGCACTCTACAATAACAGAGCTGATCTCTCTGTATGGCCTCTATAGAGTATTTCTTGTAAAATGACTTTGCACTCTACAGAAAAAATCCCTGCCCTCCACTGCTGAAAGATTTATGTGAGATTTATGCAAACAGTTTTTTTTTTTATTTTTTTTATAACCAATAAGCAAATATTTCTTCCCCTCCCAGTGACTCATGCAGAGTGTGATCAAAATATACTTGGTAATTATTTCTGTGAAGCAGTTTCCAGGATTAGGCAGCACATTGGGACAAATTTTAATTTAGAGATGCTTTTGATGAGAAGTTGTCTGAGTCTTTGTAAACAAACAAGTTTGCTGATTTGAGGAAATAACTTTAAATGGAAGTTTACACTTTGGTTTGGTAAGTGGCCTGGAAAGTGTTTATTTCCACGGTAGGCAAATCCTGGCTATTAACAAGACTTTTATTTATGTTTTCCCTTTGTTCCAAATGACCCGTCTTATCAGAACTGCTCAACTGTTTTTGCACACCCGAGATCCAAGCATCACAGCTTACCTAATCTTTATTATGTTTTATGTTCTTTAATTAGTCAGCCTGCCACTCGAGAGCTGATCAAAATTAAAGATATTTAATTACATCTGAGAGGTTTGCTGATTCTGTGCTGTTAGAAGCTCTTCAGCAACTGCTTCGGCATCAAGACGGAGCCTCCCCGAAGGCATCTTGACAGAGACACGCAATAGGAGCCATCTTCATATTCACCTGTGTATTCAGTGTTATTTTTCCAGACAGTTTATGACATAATAAAGACTAAAAAAAAAACAAACAAGAATCCATGATTGTTGCACTGTTTTACTGCTGTGATACACACAGGGGGGGATCCTATCTAGAGGATGTCGCCCTCTTAGAGACAAAACGCATGTTGTGCTGTATATTGTGCTTTTTTTTTTCTATGATTTATAATATGGCAATACCTAATTTGATTCAGTATGGAAGTACGCCTGAACAGTGCTGATACTGTTCCACTGTCCAGTTACCGACGTGATCAATATGCAGTCCCTTTCAATAAATGGGATGTGACTTCCTGCTACTGACATTTGTCCCTGTGGTGACAGTGTCTGCTGTCTCAGCTGGTCACCACGGAGCCCTGCTCAGTCAATGAGTCATCGGTGTTGTTATTTTAACCAACACAGATAAGAAATGCTGCACAAATGCATATTTCGACCTTTCCGATCACTCTGTTTCATGACTGCTGCCTTTCTTGTCACAGAGGCTGGGCGAGAGCCTTCGAGAAGAAACAGTCCTGCTGCTGCTGCTGCTGCTGCTTGCTCCTCCGGCACATTGTGTACTCACATTAAAACGCCATTACAAGGATGCATGTGTGGCTCTGCATTTAAAACAGGTGAGTGCTGTCACCTATAAAACAGCATGATGAACAAACCCACTGTCACGTACATATGCATATGTCAATGTTTATTTGTTCATGTCTTACTGATAACATCTTCATATCTACAACTATATATAATAGGTAAATAATAAGTAAATATAAATGGCTAACTTGTCATACAGAATAAACCAAGGGAGGGACAAAGTTCAGCAAACAGCCCCTTCGTTAACAACAACAAAAAAAAAACTGTTTCAGATTGTGGTGGAAAACAATATGAAGGTCTTCACCCAACAACAGAATTTACACAAAACATTTTTTCCTTGTCTATTTTTTCTAAAAAAAAAAACCATAAGAATAATCTGCAGGATACTTTAATCACTTAGAAAAACTACACATGGGCTGTGTGTATAAGTTTCCTTCTCATGAGGAAGAGATAGGAGGAGAGCTCGTCTCCCTCTCAGCTGTGATGCAATTACTATGTAAGAGAAGCCGGGCTTCTTTGACCTTGAATCATCATTCAGCCCCTTCCTGAACAGGTATGTTCACTGAATCTGTAACTGGTGTGTATTAGTATGCATGCTATCAGTGGGTTTGGTGTGTGCGCATATGATTCATCTTATATGCAGATCCATATCTGATGAGCTGGACCACAAAGCCTGGGGGGCTTCCAAGAGCATTCAGCATGATAATATTTAGAGGAGGAAAAACAACATTATATATGGGAGTTTGTTCACCTGGAGTCTGAGAGGAATGAATCATGATGAGCTGTGTTATGTCGGGATGCACAGGAAGGGGCCTGTGTTTGCATGTAGCTTATAAAGTGAAGCTGACACAGTGAGAAAAAAAAAAAATCACTTTCATATAGTTCCAGGTGGTTTTACATTTATGACAGAACCTATGATTTATTCATAGATTCACAACATTAACTCTCACCTGTCTGTGTCCAAAGTCGTTCAGGATGGTGGCCAGTTTCTTCGTGTTGGCATACTGACGCTGGGCGACGATGGCGGGGCTTGGATCCCTCCAGTCCACAGAGAGCCGGTGGAGCCACATTTCAGCCTGCTGCAGGTGAGGCTGCTTCAAGCTGGGATCGAAGCAGTGGACCTCACACCCTGACCGGGCGAGGAAACGCTCCAGGGACCGGTCGTCCACCCCCAACCTGCAAGCCCACACAGGACAGGATAATCAGGTTGGTTATTGACCCTCAATACTTTCTTGGTACCAGCCAAAATATGGACATAGTATATATATAGAGTAGCGAAAAACTGAAACATCCAGTAGCTGATGAGACGTTTCACTCACAAGAAAAAAAAATGTCAACGTCGTGGTGGGTTAGAGGAAAAGTCAGGGGGTTACCAATGTCATGAACATTCATCCACTGGATGTACCATAGTTTAGTTATTGAGTCTGGATCAAAGTGGTTGACTGACCGACCGACAGACCAACATTGCCATCCATAGACTGTGAGAATGGTTTGTACTACTACTACTAATACTTCAAACAATACCCAATAAATTTAGCTTTATAACTTGGTACGGCTACAAATGAGATCTGCTGCATTTGACTGAATAGGAAAGGGAGTCCCATCGTGCTGTCATTTGATGGCACTGAGGGCAACTGCTTACAAGCACAGAACAGGATGAAGATTTATACTGTTTTATTCTAAAGTGCACTGAGCTAAAAAGTTTAAAACTGCCATGTGTTTTTGAAATAGAGAGAAAACTTTCAAGCCAAGTCCCAAAGGTCTTCTTTGTGACATGAAACAACATCAGCAGCAGTTGTCACAAATGTCAAACGCAATAGAGAGAATTCTAGGAATAAAATGTTACAGACAAGTGACATATCAAACATCTTACAGTCACTTTGCGATCCAGACATGACCTTTTCACTTGAAAGCCAAAAAAAAATCAATAATCCACAAAAAAAAAAAAAAACCCCAAAGAGAACTTTTGGCCGGGAGATACATCTTGTTTCTGTTTCTCTCTAGTCTCTTTTGTTTAATGTTTCTCTCTTTTGTTCTCCTCCTCTACCTTTCCTCTTTCTAGTGGCCCTTGTCTCCATTTTGAGATATGATGTGTATAAATGAAAGAAGACAGACACATTCCCCTGTATTTCTGTCTCTTTCACGCCTCTCCCTCTCTCACTGACTGTTCTCTCTTTATCCGACCCCTCCCTCCTCTAGTTCTGCAATTTTTTCCTTTTCTTCCTCTCTCGGTCGCTGTCTCCGCACTCCCCCGTGTCTTGTTTGTGCTGCGGCTGTATTCTGTAATTGCGGCAGAGGGAGTACATTTCACAGTGCACATCTTTAACAGATGAGCCACCGGGTCCCCGAAAGCATACCACCTGCAGGGAGATGAGAGATAAGTGTATGGGAGTGATTGAGATGCGACTAGACGTCTCCTTTCACGGCACTAAATATTTCACTGAGAGTTTCTCATTCTCTGGTGAGGTGTTTTTGGCTGGGAATCACTACAGTGACACTTACAGATGACAGGGATCAGGGATTACTCATAGAGTGGCGGGGGGGGGCAAAAGGGGGGTCACAGTGCATTAGAAGCTGTTCTGGATGACAATGCTGATAAAGAAGGATCTCTACTAGCCGTAATATCCTCTCTCATGAGACTACAGAGTGCAGGAGGGGTAACACGCTGGATGAATGGATATGTAGATGTGAGTGTCATAGTGGAAAATCTTCTCCTTCAAATGATGTGGGTTATAAGGGTTACCAAGAGATCCCTGTTGACTAGATGTCATGGCAACCAGATGTGAACCTGTGTGTGTGTGTGTGTGTGTGTGTGTGTGTGTGTGTGTGATAGGTCACAAACCTACAGTAGATTGTAAATCTGATAAACAGATCCTAGAATCTGCCTGTCCTTGCACTGAACTATTGTATCAACAGACTGTCTGGATGTTGTGAGGCTTGGAAGTGAGACTGCTTAACAAACGTTGGGTGGGCTGGGAAGCTATTTGCTGACAGGCAGTCTGTTTCCCCTCCGGATTCTTTTCCTTTTACTCGTATATATACAGTATTTGCCACTGCATCTTCTCTTTTCTTTTCTTTTCTTTTTTTTTTTATTCCCCATTTGCTTCAAATACCATGGTGTTCTCAAACTACCTCTGTCTGCACGACTGTTTCTCTCCCTCTGCTATGCTCCTATTCTTCGTCCTTTCTCACACTTTGCATCACATTAGCATAGCACGATTGATGATTGATGAAATGCAGGTATTTTTAATTCCCCCGCTACGCTTTAGCCCATATAAGAGCTCTAAATTTGAACAACCGCTACATGGCCTGCAGTCTGCAAGGACAGTAGTCACCAGTGGACCTCTTTCAAACTCAAGGAACAAAACTCTTTTCAGCATTTTCTGGCTGGCTGAGGGAATCTTTTCTCCTTTTTTTTTAAATTTTTTTTTTTTAACAAAGACAATACAAAGAAGAGAGACCCCTACAGACATGGCAGACATTTTACCTGTGGAAACACGAGAGGCATAGGCGAATTAATAACATTAATTGTAGCTCACTTGCATTAAGTGTCTCAGTAAGCTGTTCCAATGAGCCAGCAGGCACAGTAGGCCTCTTTCCCAGCAGATGTGTACTGTTCAGGATGTTTAGATACCTTTACTAAAGCATCACTCACAATACCTTTTGTACAACTTCAAGGACACAGACTGATTATACGAGAGAATAACTATAGTAATGTATGGTGATCTGTGGGGCATTCATTTAAAAATCTTAAGTTAAATCATACTCATTGAATAGCTGAACATACCAAGATGACGTGGACATTTCTCTGTTACCCTGGCAACCCTTTTTTTCTGCTTTTTCTGAGCCATATGTCAGCGGGTGCATTTGGAGGGGGGAGCGGGGGGGGGGGGTCTTCACCTGTGTTTTTTTCTCACTTGGTTCTTGCTTCGTATTTACTTGTTTAAAAAAGGTCAAAAGAAAATGAGGAAAAAAAAGAATGGAATTCTAACACTAAAGATGATAATGTTATCAGTCCCTGAACAGAAGCTTAGCAAACTTTCACATGATAGAATTGTTCAGAACAGCAGCCAGAGTGGCAGGAACAAGAAAAGTGGTAATAACTTGATTTGACTTAGAGTGACACTTTAGGCACAGAGGGTGAAAGGGCGGTGGGGCAGCGACTAGAGCCCCTTTTGCCACCAGCTGTACTGTGAATATTCCCATTGCTGCTGTGGTGACAGCATCACACATGCTTATGGTAAAAGTACAGCAGATGGGCGCACGCACAAGCCTGCTTCAGTTGGCCAGGATATGGGTTTTTTTTTTCTTTTTTTTTTTTTTATAGCAATGGATGACTCATCTTCAACATGCTCATATTGCTCATATGCTTGAGTGAATGAGGAGAAAATAATAATCATGATCAAAAAGATGAACTGAAACTATAAGAGGAGGAAGATGGAGGAGGATGAGAGATGGAAGTTTGAGTAGGAGGTGTGGGGGGGGGGTGTAGATAATTGGACTTTCATGTGGAAAAACATCCTGCAACACTCCCACACCCCACTACACCACCCCCACCACCATGTGACAGACCAATCCGAGAACAGCTGCTCATCCTGCCCAGGCACATCCGTCCACGGCTCGTTAAACAGCACGCAAATGAGATGTACCAACTGTACACACACACACACACACACACACACACACACACACACACACACACAAGCGCGTGAAATCACACAAGTGTACATACTCAGTAATGTACGGCGTTCAACAGTCTACACACGTGTACTTAATAGTATTTGACATTTCTATTAAAGCCAGTCTTATGTGCAGCAGTGGGCTGGAGTCCAGGGTTTTTGTAAGTCTCTTGTACAGCAGAGCAGAACCATCCTGAGAATAGGATGCTGAGAATACCTGGCATAGAGTCAACCGTATGACCAAGAAGTCTATATATGTGTGTGTGTGTGTGTGTGTGTGTGTGTGTGTGTGTGTGTGTGTGTGTGTGTGTGTGTGGTGGTGTGTACGTAAACGCATGAATCTAGGTCAAAAAGGGGGCACAGGGAGGAGAGAATCACTTGGCGTATCTAGAGGACTGGAACTTCAGACAGCACTTTGACTTGATTAACTGTTACACTTGGCGCTTTCTTTTGTTGCTCGTAAAGTTTCTGTTTTCCATAGGATTTCATTATTTTTTTAGTCAGCTCACTGTTACTGCATCAGCCAGAGTTGAGGGGCGACTTTGCATAAATTGAATTCATTCCAGAGGTCTTAAGGGATCAGTTAGATAGGAGGAAAAAATGGTAATGCAGCTTTCATTGACTTGAAAAAAAATCAGAGCTGTGAGTCACACTTTCCCAAGCTGATATTCAGGTCAAATGTTAAAATGTTTGCATGAATCATAATAACATTCCTTTTATTTTTGCCACATGTCCATGTGGCTTGTCTGCATGAGTGACTTTCCATCAGTCAGCCAGAGGAAATCAGAATTGTTTTCCTCCTATCTCTCCGTTTGACCCCCTGACCCCTTCTCCATAGCGAGGCAGAAAGCCAGAAACAGCCAGAAACAGCCCCCCAACCGCCTCCCTCCCGCATCCGTATCTGAGCCCTGCCTGCGTTGATGCCAGCACACCTGTGCTGTCTCTCAACAGTCAAATTAATAAGCTCCCTCTCTCCTGCAGCCAAATCCCTTCAGACCTTTGCAGCACCTCAGCTCAGCGGAGGCCCAGCAGGGCAGGAGAGGGCCGAGCTGATCCACAACACAAAGCCAACTGGGAGTGATTGACTCTCCAATGTTAAGAGGGTCAAATACCTCGGTGGCCGGGCTGATTTGATTCAAGATTACTTGCCACTCAGGGAGACGGAAGCAGAGGTGGAGTGGATGTGACTTTCCACGTGGCTTACAGGGGGGGAGGATTATCTTTACTCTCATTACAGTGTTACTCAAATAGTTTGGAAAGAGTTGTCCAGAATATTAATACAAAGAAACCAAACTGCTAGCCGGCCCAAAAAAAGTCAGCGGAATATCTCGACTCTGTCGGAGAAAAACAGATCCTGAATAAATACAGGCTCAATAAATCACTGAAATGAGTGTGGAAAAATAACCAATTGCCATTTTTTGATGAAACAGTGAATGGAAACCTGAATTTCTCTGCCCAAATGACAAAGAAAAAAAAATCTAAATTGTCATTGGTGAAGTGACAGCAGCAGCAATTGAGACTAGCTATATCACAGCCTGTCACAGAACCAGATGCTCTGCGGCATCTGCAGATGACTCGCTGACTGCGAGGAAATCAGTGCTGTGAACAATGCCGTCAATTGTTCAGATGCTGTACATGTCTCAAAGCTAATGTACAGACTGTAGATTTAGTTGTATAAGTGATTACAATGAGGATTAGATTTATACTCTAGACTAGCATATGTGAGTGTTTGTGTGTGTCTATACGCACCCAAAAGAGTAAATCCTGCAGTGTTTGCTTTGTATCCTGTGGGCCAGACTGTACTTAGGGTCCAGACACACAACCCAGGCACCCGTGGTCCCCTTGGACCCCTCTTGAGCAGCTTCTTCACCAGCCAATGGTGAACATGACACCTGGACACATGAAATATGCACATATTCTAACATTTTTCACATAACAAGGAGCAAATCTTCTTGCCGAAGTTCTGTTATGTTCCCTGGCTCAGAATGGAATGACCCTGCATTGCGGATTTAATGTACAGTCTGAACCAAACAAGCGCTATACTGGGGAATACAGGAATTACAGGAATACAGAGTTTTGTTGTTATTTGACATTTTCCAGTGGTGACACAATACTCCTATTCTCGCAGAGCTAGAGAACATCTGACCTCTTGCTTTTAAGTCAAGGATGGCGCTCAGTGATGCACAAAAAGCAAATATTGCTTAACAAATGTGAGCATCTGAACCATATGAACTGTCTACATTGAGCATACAAGGCCGCCAATGTGGTGTGTGTGAGTGATTTTGTATATGTAGCCCATGACTTTCTCTTCAATACAGCATGTATGGAGGAGTATAAGAAGTTGAACCAGGCATGAATAGGAGTGCAAATTTTGTTCTATTTCTTATAAAGTATCAGTGGAACTGTTTGTTGGTTTTAGCCACAGCTATATTTGAGTTCAAACAATCACAGCAGCATTTTAAAGTCAATAGTGGCAGCTTGGCTGATATTCTAAACATCTTTTTCTCCAGATAACATAACGTAAATCTTGGAAATCACTGGAAACTGCTACTGAATTTGACCCTGCACTGGTGTGTGTATGTTTGGTTTGGGCCTCGGTGTTGAACTACAACTATTCATCATGATGCGCAGCTGGAGCCGATGCATCAGCAGTCTCTGACTATTAACAGCACAGTGAATTCAACCACTCACAAGGGGGGAAACTGGCTAACACTGTTTAAACAGTTCTCATATAATGTAGCAGGCTAATAGTTTCTGATATATCCCGTCATACATATTAATTTAAAACTTTATAATCGAAAACACTGACATTTTATTGTGGCATTTGCATGATACTGTTATTAACGAAAGTGGCAAATAAATATTGTACAGTAACCAAAGTACTGACTTGAAATTTTCATGACTTCTGAGCTGTTGTCAACTCAGCTCCTGCTCAGCCCATCTACTTATACAAGTACCGAGATGTTTAGTGATGATGTGAGGTTCTGCATGTTGATATAAAGCATGCACCTGCATAAACTGTGTACATTAATGCAGTGAACGTGTGTGCACATGTTGGTTTCGTGTTGTACATCTGCAGTTTTTTTCAAGTGATTCAGCTTCAGCACTGGAGCTGCTGCTCAAATGTTTGTTGTCTGCCGTAGAGATTCAGTTTGCTGAGGAAGGAACAATATTGGCTCAGGAAGGACGATGTGCAACATAAACCTGTGCGAGCGTCTCCACTGTACGCCACTCAAGTGTAAACAAGTCAGTGTGTGTGAATGTGTGCGTGTTACAGCAACGTCAATGTGAAATAAAAACAATGAAGAATAGATCAATTATTGCTGCTCTCCAAAAATATTCTTGTGTCAGGGAACAGTGAGCGCTGTGTGCCAGCCTCTTATAAAACCACCTCTATTGTTCACTTTTTTTTCACCATTTGAAACTGTTCATGTTTACATTCTCAGGCCATGTGAGTTCCATTTTCACGCCTCTGTCTAATCAGAGCTTTCAGTGACAGGACAGGCAGGAAGTGACCGGCTGAGTCAAGTGCAGCGACGCCATTTGAGAGGGAATAAGAGTCACCTGATGTGTCTTTGTTATAAAGAGCACCAGAACTGCATTGTACACATGGGCGGTGCAGTAATGTATTTAAATGAATTAGGAACACGCTCCGTTATGCCCGTCATTGTTAATGTGTTCCAGCTGAGAGCATTCATCAGCACACAATACACACTGTGCAATGAAATGCAAAATCACTCTGGATTATTTGGCCACTTCACATCTGCAGATTTACTGTTGGCGTTGAACTGCTGACTGCTGCTACACTGAATACTGAGTGGTAAAAATTGACCTGAAAGAATGTTTTCATTAATAATACATTAAAATGAATGAAAAGTAATGACTTATTGTTGTTAGTCTAATCAGAGAGAATTATCTACAGCACATTTCAGGCTGTTAAAAATGCTTCTACAGAAGAACTTTTCTCCCATCTCTGTGTGTGTGCTGGTGCATATAAGATACCCTGACTGCTATTGATTGGACAGTTGTGTCGCACGCCATCACTCTGAGTAGCAGCTCCACCAGGCACTGTGTCAGTCAGCATTACAGCTGCGGATGCTGCTATGCCCCCACCAACTCCTTCCACCCTCGCCTGTCACTGTCTATGACGGACAGTTCCCTTCAACCGCCTCCCACAAACACACACTTACACACACGCTCGCTCAGACAATCTCTTTCTCTCTGTTCTTGTCCTTGTCCCATCCTTCTCCCGCACACAAATACACACCAGTGGCTGCATATACGTACACACACACACACACACACACACACACACATCCTGGGGCTAATTCATTATGAGCTGAATGTCTGCTTTGTGAAAGATACAGAACGAGTGCTTAGTCATTTGGAGTGGAATACTCTGTGTTCTGGCTCTGCTGTGTGAGGGAAAAAGATAAGTTACTGATTTATCCCCAAGCCAATTTCATTACAATAAAAACCGGAGCACATGTAATCCAAAAAATGTCCGTCTATGTTTGGGACTGAAAATGAAACTCTGTCTTTGCAATACCTTCACAATAGGGATAAGGGCACAGAATTCCAGGCTTAGTCAATCCCTCGATATTTTTCAAATTATGAAGCTGAGCATCTTAATCGATTTGCAGTAATTTAATAGTGACATAGACCAACAAACGAACCACAACATCTCATTGATTAAGTATGACTAGAGGGGCCTTGAGTTCCATCTGTATGGTAATCAATAGTGTAATGAATTATGTGTGTGCTCTCGAGCAAGACAAATACCGTTCGGCTGAGCTGAATCTGAAAGAGGTGCCGGTGTATCTCAGTCATGGGCTGACACATCCAGCCTCGTTCTAATATACGTAACAAAGACCTGTCAAAATAAGGCTCTTCCTGGCCTTCTTTAGCAACAGCTACTCCAATTTATCTCTCTTCACACCACTGTCATATTAGTATATTTCTAATGCTCAAGTAAAGTAAAAGTAGTTCAACTTTGTTAGTATTTGAGAATATACACTATACACTGCATTCGACCTCCAATTTATTTTTAATATTGTACTTTGTCCCTCACAACTACAGAAATGTATTTAAATAAATGTACAGCAACTTCTCATTTTAAGAGCCTGTGAGAATTCTTATGATTCTGACTCACTTGTGGTGTTGTGATGTAGCTGAGGAACCTCTTAGCTTCTTCCTCCAGAGAATGACTCTCACTGGCCCACGGCTCCAGGTCTATGTGCCACCGAGGAGTCTGCAGTGGAGCACGCACGCACACACACACACACACACACATACACATAAATATGATCATTACCAATGAAAAGAACACAAAAAACTGACAATTAACTGACATCAAAGTAGGCCACTGAAAAGAAATCCAGTACAAGGACAACAACAACAACACAGGGAGCCTTATTCTTTCAGGTATTATAACCCACTTGTTGCACAGCCACTGATGGAACTAGGTCACAATGTGCTCGGTAGAGGATTTTTTTCCCACCTGTGTGTTAGTGACAAATAAACTGCTAAAGTTCATTTCCATTGTTATTTTTGTAAAATGGTGGCTGCTATTTATTCTTACGCATCCTGCACTGCAAGGCATGGATAAAAAAAATAATTAATCCAGCCCTGTTTGACAGTGGAAAAATAAGACTTCACCATCAGCTGGCTGTAGCAGCTCGGTGCAGCAGAGCCCGGTGAAGTGCTGCTGCGTGATCACATTCCTGAGACCTGGCAGAGCTCTGCCTTACAGCCTGCTTCATTTCTGCAGGAATGTGTCTGTTTATGATTAGAGGAGAGGCCATGATGAGATGGAGAGCGAATGAGAGGCAGAGGCTGCGATGATGCATTTGTTGGTTGCACAATCATTTCTTGGGTCAAACGCTACAGCCAAGTGTTCATTAGCAGCTGTGGTATAAATCATCCTGGGTGATTTCACGACAGAGCGCCTCCCTGCAACAGACGCGCCTTCCTCCATCAGAGTTTTTATGACCTATACAGTTTTATTCTCACTTTTTCCACAGTTCTGCACACATCATTTTTTGGCTTGACTAACAAGATCATGTTTGGGTTTGTTTGATGCTGTGGGCACATCTGGCGAACAGTCTGTAAAAAGGCACTACGGTGACATCAGGTCTGTTTCTGAAAATAACCTTGTGTTGGTTTCCATGCCTGCTCTCATAGTTATGCCCTCCTGTTTAGCTTTGTGATTGCAGGCGCAACACAATGGGCTTCATAGTTCATACGCTGTGATTTGTAATCACCCTGTTGAGCTCAGCAAAAGAGGTTTAGTGTGATTTGCCGTGAAACTGGAGGTTGGGGTCTTTGATTATCTTCTAGATTGTGTACAGGTCAATTCGGTCGTACATTCATGTGTGTCACAGGCCAGTGGGAAGTATACATTTTCTCAAGCACACACAGATATACACAAACACATATTTACATCGTGTATCATTCAAATCACTGCAATTAAGTGACCTTATAAGGTTTTATATACATGTGCACACACAGACACTTTTACACGTATTCATTTACTTGATATGGACATGCACTTACACTGACAGCACTCTGCTAATACATTATCTAAGGCAGCAACATGTCCTCCCCCACTGATGCTGACCCTGGACCTGCCAACGCACAGAATCAGCTGTTTCCTTTAATGGCTGCAGATCTGCATTCACACATCACTATTCAGTGTTTGGCGTTCAGCCTTCAATCGATTTGCAGCGTGTCAAAACATCTGAATGTTTCTCGTGCCACAACTCCTCCCCTCCTCTCTCTCTCTCTCTCTCTGAATCGTGTCATCTCTCTGTTTCCTTGTATCCTTCCTTCTCTCTCTGTCTCTCTCTCTCTCTCTCTCTCTCTCTTCTTCTGGCAAACATTCTGGGCCTCATTTCATTGTTTATCTTATTTCAGACACCATCTCTCTCTCTCTCTCTTTCTCTCTCCCTCTCTTTCTCGTCCTCTCTCTCTTCAGTTTAAAACAATTGCACTCATGATGCATGAACAACTTAAGTACCCTGCAGGACAAAATAGGGTGATGGGTGTTTCATGTGTGGGTTTCAGACCATAGCTTTAATTTTCTGCAGTTTGATTTTCTAGATTTGCCTGTTACATAAACAATACAAACACACACACACACACACGCGCACGTGCCACTCATTCATGCTCTCTCTCACCTTGGCAATGAAGACTGGTTAGTGAAAGGAAAAAGAGATTTATTAAGTGATCATTGTTAAGAGAACGTAGTGGCTGGTGGATGGTGAGGAAGTGGGGAATTTTAAAAAGTAATTGGCATTGAAAGTACTGATCTCCTTATTCCTTTTCATCTTGTGCCCTAACTAACATGGTATAATCACTATGCATACTGTATGTAATACAGTTACGTTTAAGTTTGGTCATAGTGCGGAGAAAAGGGGTAACCTGGATTTTTCAGTGTCTTGGACCAGTTTACACAGTGAGGTTGTTTCTTTGGAGCAATAGCAAGAGAGGCTGCAGATTAGCATTTCTATTTTATGGGCTATAAGAATTTAATTCTCTCATTTATTTTGCTACATTTTTCCAAATTCAAAAATGTAGCAACAAAATAGGTTACATGGCACCACAGTCAGTAGGAAAACAAGGGCTGAGAAAAATGTTTGTTAAATATCACGTAAGGTTGCGGCTTATTGTGCTAGTGTAGCAATGACGAGCAATGGATTGCCTGTCATTATTAAGACAGAGCAAAAATAACTGAAAATCAGTTGCAGTTTTGATTGGATGTTGGCATTTGACCAGTTTAAAAGTGATATAAGATATAAAATATAAGATGATAAGATAGCCACACAGCAGAGTTCACTCAAGTAAATGTATACATATTTAATTTTATGTCCTCATCATTAATGTGCTACAGAGCAGAACAGATAGAGTGGTTGTTGGATCAGTATTAAATGTGATGTCCTCTGGTTTTTACCTCTGACTGAGCCTCCATGAGGAGCATTTGTTGTTCAATTTTGATTCAGACCACATAGCAGAAATCTCTCTGTCAGACAATAACTGACAAAAAGAAGAAAACAGAAATACCAATTCCAATCAACATTGCTTTTGAAATGCAGCAGTGAAGCCAGAAGAATTTATATAGAGACAGAGAGGCTGCACATCGGTCTGGGAGTCTGTTATTCACACATAGACAAATAACATCTACCTTTCCGCATCCCAGGGACTCTGAAAGCTCCCAGAACTCTCTGTCTCCATGCTGCCCTTTTCATCTCCTTACTGAGTCCTCCCTGCAAAGCTTAGCTGTCAGGCCCCATACATCAGCCTGGTGCAGGTTGAGACAGGACTGCTGATCAGAGGGCAGATATCTGGGACAATGGACTCACTGGGAGGTAGCAGTGTATAAAGTGGAGCTGAACAGGAAGGAAGGAGGGAAAAGTGGAGAAACAAAGGACAGAATGAGGGTTGAAGGCATGCACGCACACTCGCGCACACACACATGCACGCACGCACGCGCACACACATACTACCTGAACTGTACAGGAGAGAGGAAATTAAATTATTGGCAGATTTTGCCAATGGGGGAGGTTTGCATTCAAGAATTGTATAGTTTAAAGTCTTTACTGGAAAGAAACTTCTCCCTGGAGTTGTCAGACTGACTTGACTACAACTCAAGCTTTCACCCTGAGTGAGTTTTCCTTTCCTTCCTTCATGTGAAGTTATTTAATGGAAATTAAAAACAAAAAATTTTGTGCAACACTTCTCTCATACTGTGAGTGATGTGTATGTGCCTGTATTTATGCGCGCATTATACTATACATGCCCATGAGCTCTTACTAACTGCTGAATCATCACGGAGCATTGATGAGATTAGTCTTAAGCCTCATGTTCAGTCAAGCAACAACAAGTCATCCTCACCTCAGGGACAGCAGAGGTAATCAGTGTTAATAACAAACACACAGAACATCACTAAGAACGGATGAGCCTCAGCCTTTAGACCTTAGCTCAGTGACATTAGATAGAACTACAAACCCTGCATGAGCATTTCAGGTAGTTGCCTTGACATGAATGGGACATTGATAATATAGATTGGTTATGCTAGTAAGATGACATTGTGAACTAGAAAAGGCAATTTCTTCTGAGAAAAATTTACACTTGGAACATTTGAAAACGTATGAATACTGAAAATAGTTGAAGTGCCAGCTGTAACACAATGACTGAAAGAAGTGGTAGTTGAAATGGAAATGCTGAAAGATTCAGTTCATCGTCAACCAGTGTGGCAAAGTGAGCACTAGGTAAAGCTGAAGTGAAAGTGCTGAAGAGAGAGCTTGAATTTCAAGCGTTGAAAGGAGTTGAAATGCCAGTTTAAGTGTAAGCGATAAACTGAGGACGCTAAGTTGGAGTGAAAGAAATTGATCCCAATTCAAGTGTATAAACTAGTTTGGTACAATGACACCAGAGACTAGAAAAGGCAAACATTTCCAAAGAAACTGTACATCTGCTGAAACAGTATGGACACTGAAATAAGCTGAAGTGGCAGCTGCAGTAAATTTTTAAGGGAAACTGAAATGGCACTTAAAATACAAGTGTTGGAAAAAAAAAATCTATTGTGTGAGCACTGAAAGGAGTTGTAATACAAGTGAAAGTGGTAAGTTGAGCTAAGAAGATCAGCTGAGGTGGAAGTAGATGCCAGTACACATGAATAAACTGAAAGGTAATATCAGTTGAAGTGTCAGTTTGAGTGTAAGCACTGGAAGCGGATGGAACAAGTAGTGTAGTGGAAATTAGAAGAGCTGAAGAAGTGTTTTTTTTTTAATTTTGTATGAAGGTGAAGATCTGAGACCTGAAATGGTTTGAAATGTGAGCTGAAGTGTGATGACTCTCAGGTATAAAATACAAGATGATTAATTGAATTCATTTTAGGAGAAAATTGATGGAGCTAATTTTACTTCAGGCGTAATTTAATTGAATTTTATTTCACTACACTCTTATTCTGATACATTATTGCCTTAACTTCTCCTTTTATTTCTTAGGGATATAAAAAGGATTACAAAAAGACCTATTTTTGATCACTCTGTTATGGGGCCTTTCTGCATGCTCTGCATGTCCTGATGGAGCTGGGTGTGTGTTAGTGGATCTGTGCCTCTCAGCCTGGGTGTGAGCAGCCAGGCCAAGCATGAATAATCCCTTGGGGAGAAGAGGATGGATGGGTGAACAAGAGATGACTGGATAAAACAAGAGAAGACTGTCTGCCAGAACAATGAAGTCGGGTGAGAA